TTTCTCCCAAAATAATTCAATTAATTTTTTCCCTCTAATATTCTCCCCAATTGCAGAATATTGGGCCAATATAAAGTCCGAAAAAAATTGATTTCCATTCAAGCAAAAGAAATCTAATCAGCCATGAAAATATTATCTTTAAATAATGTTTATGAAATTTGTAATATATTTATAGGGTCCATTGATTTTTTTCTTCTGCTATCAACAACTCCCCAAAAACGGAAAAAAGTCTAAGAAGAAAGGCAGATAAAACAAAGCAATAAGTGAATAAAAGAAAAAAATGAAAAAAAAACAGCAGCCTTTCAATCAACTGGCCACCAGAGAATAGGGTAGGAGAAAATGCTGTCTCAAATGAAATTTGCGCCTATGAGAAATTGGTAATATTCTATTATTGGCTTAGGAGATAAATTAGCAGCATATTTTATGGATTCAAAGGCGAAGAAATTCTATTATTTCAGTTTTTCTTTTTTTGCCAAAATTCTGGTCTTTATTCATAATAAAATAGTTGGGGAATTACATATACATACATAAAGAAACATTTTTTTTTTTTTGGATTTTCCTCATTCTTAGAAGCAAAGATGGGAAGGAAAAATGAAAGAAATTGGTAACAGATCACAAATTTTGGCTCCACTCGTTAGTTGTATTGTGTTTGTTTCTTGTTCCCTGATTTCCTTTACACTTTTCCTTGTAACTTTCCCCATCATCATCTATGGCCTCCGAATATATTGAAATGTGTCATTGACGTGCTATCTGAATAGCTAAGATGTAGAGATATTTCATTAAGGTTGTTTGTTTGTTTGTTTATTTTCCTTGGACACAAGTGTCCAAATATAATTTCCAGCTTTTCATGTTTTGAGCCTCGGGTCCCATTGAAATGAGAAATCCAGAAGGAAAAACAAATATGGAAAAAGAAAGCAAGCAAACAAATGACTGAATGAATGAGAAATGGTCCATTCTATTCATAAGTGATGAAGGTGATATGTCCCATCAATCGAAAGGGACACAGGACAGAAAGGAGAAGTAAACATTTTTTCGGGAAAAGTGGAAAATATGAATAGGAATCATGAATAGGTAGTCACAATGAATAGAAAAGTTTTTTTGCATGTAACGAAGAGGTTGGCAAGATTTTTTCTGGGGAAAATGTTAGTACAAGGTTTCTTAGAAAAATAGTCAGCTTCAAGGACAAAATTACTTGAAAAGGTATTTTAATAAAAAAAATTCACAACATTTTGCAAGGTACGATTTTTGCTCCGACGAAAATTAAAGGCTTTTGTTCATGAAATTTTTAAAAAATAAAAAAATTCGTGATTTTTATCAAAAAGTCCTTGAAAAATCCACGATGTTTTTACCCTTTATAATTTCTTTAAAAATTTTAAACTATGTAACTCCATTGCAATTTTTTTCATAAAAAATAATTTAAAAAACTTATCAAAATATTCCAAAAATTAAAAATTTATATCAGGCTCATTAAAAAAACCCTAAAAATTCATTTTGTCGCGCATAAAGGTCCTTCACGACTTTTCTTAAACAATGCGGGATTTTTAAACAGCTCTTGAAAAAACAATTCCTAAAAAATCTTTTTAAAAATATTCTTATTCTTATATTCCCGAAAATTTCGCTTTGTCCTTGAAGACTTTTCTTAAATAATTCAAGATTTCTAAATTCTAAATACCAAAAATTGATGATAATTTTCTGAATTCAACAATTTTATTCAGAATAAGTTCATAAAAATCTATAATTTTATTTCCGGAGATCTCTTAAAATATTCACAAATATTCAACGATTTTTGTTCAAATCGATCTGAATAAAAAAGATTATTAAAATCCAAAAAAAAAAAAATCTCAAAAAATTTTGACCAGTAAATGTTTAGAATAATCTGCTCAAAATCCACGATTTTTGGATACGAAGTTCTTTTAATGATTCGACGATTCTTGGTAAAGATGTCTTGATAGCGAATTAAAAGAAAATCCAAGATTTTTGGTCGTGTGATCCTTGACGATTTTTGACAAGTTTTAAAAAAAAGACTCCTTTTTAAAAAGAACTCCTAAAAATCCACGATGATAGACCAAGAGGTCCTTTAAAATCCTTAAAAAAATTTAAAAAAATTCTAAACACCAATTATTGTTGGTAATTAGGTCCTTTTCTGGGTCTAACTTTTTTATCCAGAAGAAGTTCATAAAAAATCTACGATTTTATTTCCCTTAAAATGTTCATAAATATTTTTCGATTTTTTGTTCAAATAGATCTGCCAGAAATTCAACAATTTTTTTGACGAAAGACCTTTAAAAATGGTATTCTTAAAATCCGTAGATTCTTGGTCAGGAAGTCCTTAAAATTTCCAAAACCAAAGTTTTGAGGAGAGATGTCCGTGGTTTTTTTGTTCCAAAAAAAAAAAAAAAAAACAAATCCACAGATTTTGTCCAGTATATTTTAAAAATAATCTGTTCAAAATCGAATTCTTTTTTAAGAAGTTCCTGAAATCTTTTATCTTTTAATAAATTCACGATTCTTATTCAAGAGGTGTTGATTGAAAAATGAAAAAAAACATGCTTCTGGGTCGGGATATCCTTGACGATTTTTGTTAATAAGTTTTAGATTTTTTTATAGAAAGAACTCGTAAAAATCCATGATGATGGACCAGGAGGTCCTTTAAAATCTCTTCAAAAAGTTGAAAAATTTTACGAATATTTTTTCTCAATTATCAACGATTTTCGCTCTGGAGGTCCTTGTATGTTTTTTTTTTCTAAAAAATTAAAATTTTTTAATTGGTAGATTTCTCCACAGTTTTTGGAAACGGAGTCCACAAAAATTTTCAAAAGGTCAAAAATTTTAAACTCCTTGTAAAATGTTTTTAAATCAAAATTCTTGGCCCGAAAGCATATGGCAAATATTTTATACGTGGCAAAGTAATCCCTGGAATATATTCATTTGTCATGAAGTCCTAAAAAACTGCATTCATTGATTGGATATATTTAAAAAGTTCGTAATTTTTGGTCCGGAAGTCATTTTCATATCAATGAAAGTCCTTAAAAACATTTATTTATTTTATATATTTTAGCCCTTGAAAGTTTTAGGAGGTCCTTAATAGGGCAGTGAAGGAATTTACAATTCTTGGTCAGGAAATTTAAAAATAAATGTTTGCACCAGGAAAGGCTTGTAAGTACATTATTAAAAACTATTAACGATTTTCGCTCAGGAGGTCATTGAATGGGTTTTCTAAAAAAATGATTTTTTTTTTTTTTTTGTTTGGGAGATTTTTGAAAAAGACATCTATAAACTGTTTTTTGAAAATCCACCATTTTGGCATGAAGTCCTCAAAAATGTGTCTCGAAACTCAACAGCTAGAAAGTCCGTGCAAAATATTTTTTAAGGCGGAAAATTTGTGGCCGGAAAGCTTATCTGAGTTATTTTAATAACTCCAAATACGATGTCAAGAAGTCCTTGAAAAGTATTCGATTCACAATGAGAATGTCCCAGGAAATATTTCAAAATTTTGGTTATTTTTTTTATTTTATATGTTTTAGTCCTTGGAGGTACGTAAAAAAATTAATGAAGAAATCCACGATTCCTGGTCAGAAAATGTAAAAAAAAAATTAAATCTGCTATTATTGCTCAGAAAACATTATAGACCTATTGGTGCTTCAAATTTTTTAAACAAGTTCAGGGTTTTGCTCCAGAAAAAAACTTGTTATAATATATTTTAAAATAATAAACTATTTTCACTCATAAGTTTCTTGAAAGTTTTTCTAAAAAATATATATATATATTTTTTTATCTTAAAATTTTATCTTATAAAGTCCACAGTTAACGACCAGGACATTTTAAACCCGTGTTTAGAAAATCCATCATTTTTAGTCCTCAAAAATATTTTTTACGAAATTCACATTTAAATTTTTTAATCCTTGAAATTATTGAAGGAATCCTGGATCTTTAATCAGGAAGTCCTTGAAAAATAATGCTTTAAAGAATCCACTATTATTGTTCAGAGATGATCCTTGTCCAGAGAGTCCTTTTAAAAATTTAATGCCTTTGACTGGAACGTCCGGAAGTATTTATAAAAAAATCGGATCTTGTGCTTTAAAAAATTATTTTTAAAAATCGAAAGATCTTGAATAAGAAGTCCTCAAAAAAATTTTAAAAATCTACAACTCTAGATTACGAATTCCTCGATAAGTTTTTAATGGATGGCTCCTGCCCAGGAAACCCTTGAAAAATATTTTAAAATTTCCAAAAAATTTTTGAAAAAAAAATAGTATAAAAATCCACGATTCATTGTCAGGAAGTCCTTAAAAAACTTTTTTAATTCTCTATTCTTGCTATGGTAATCCTTGAAAATATTTTTGAAAAGAAAAATTGAAAATCCCTAAAAATAAAATTGAAAAGAATTATTTTTTTGTAAAAATTATAGGCAAGACTTTGTCACAAATATAATTACAAAATTAAAGAGGAAAACCTTATCGTAAATAGCTCAACATAATACACGATTGGTGGTCAGGATGGTCTTAGTAAATAAATTTTAAAATTTACGATTCCTGGTCCTAAATGCTTTTTATTTTTTAATAAGAAACATTTTTGATTTTGTTTTTAAATTTCATACTCAAAATTAGTCTCACAAAAATTTATTTAAATTTAATAAATTTTAATAAATTTTTAATTTATTTATTTTATTTATTTTTTTTTTGTTTTTCATTAAAATTGCATATTTATTACCTTAAATTATAAAAAAATACGCAAATGTTTTATATATCCTTGAACAATCAATTAAAATCTTTTTAGGTGACATTAAAAAGAATCTCCAAAAAAATAATATTAAAGCAAATAACCATTTTGAATATTTTCCATATGGACATATTGTTTAAGCTCATAAAACCAAAAAAAGAAAAAAACTAAATTCTATTGCACAAAGACATCTATCTGTTTACACAAAAGAAATCTCTCTATCAATAACCACTTTGACAAACTAAATATTCATGATTTTTTTCTATTTCCTTTCATTGCAGGCATTTTTCATACTAAATAATAAATCCATAAATAACTACCAAAGATATTGTAAATTAAGTTATACAAAAGAAATAGAAGAAGAAGAAGAAATAGAAAATTGAATGAAAACTTCAACTTCAAAAGATGCAATAAAAAAGGAATTATGCCAAGATTTAGAAAATAGAATTTGAAAAAAAAAAAAAAAAAACAGAAATAAAGCATTTTATTTGTTTCCTTTAAAACGCCTCCACTTCAATTCACCAAAAAATAATCTGCAAATAAAAATCATATAAATATCCAGCAAACATAAAAAAAATAACAAACAAATAAAACTTAAATTGTATTCTCATACAATTGGCAACAACAACAACTTCAACAAAAGTGGAAGTATAACAATTCAAATGATAGCAGAACTTGGCAACAAAATAACCAAGCAATAATATCCAACATCCAGCAATTGTTGCGACACGAAAAAAAATCTACAACATTAAGATAAGCCATCTTAAGGAGCAATCTGAGCCAAGGAGAAAAACGAAACAGGGCAAACAACTCTCCTAACTCAACAACAACAGCAGCCGCAGTCGATGACAATGTTATAAACAGGCGACATCAATGCAATTTCCATGCACATGTACAGCAAACAATCATCACAACAACCACAACAACACAAACACATCTACACCCATTCAAACTCTCAAACACAACCACACGCAACAGCAGGAGCAGCAGCAGAAACGTGCAGCAATTTTCCACACATTGTTGTCTATCATCCCGTGTGAGCATTTAAACATTGCTTAACGATTATCGCCGTCACATACATACATCCAAACCCAGCAACAACTACAACAGCCCCCTCTAGGGGCTCAAACAACAGACAACAATTGCACAATTGGTGGCAGCCAAAGAGTTGCCCTAAGATTCTAGGCTCACACTCTCTCTCTGGAAACGGAGCAAACATTGTTCTTAACATCATCGCCGAACAGCGGCAGCAACAGCAGCGGCATTAAAACACAACGGCAGCAACATGTTGCTACGACAATATCAGCATGGCAGCCTACTAATCGGATTTACATTGTTAATTTATAGCTTACAAGGATATACAAATGTTCTGGCAGTGGGTGAGTACAACAACCACAACAAATATTTCCTTTCGTATTTGCTCCCAAAAATATATTTTCCGTTTTTTTTTTTGGAGTACTTTTGAGAAGTTGGCAATAAGAGAAATAAATTAGTTCTCCAGGAATGCCGAAAATACTAGGCCAAAATTCAGCTAACGCCCAAAAGTAGGCTAATGGTTTTAAGAAACGAAAACTTTCGCCCGTTGCCATTTAATACAATTAACAAAAATTTATTATTATGTGAAAAATGTTATTTGATAAAAAAATGGAAATTTATTGGAGAGTAGGGCGAAAAAGGAGGGGGGTTGGGTGGGAGAAGGAAGAAAAGGAAAGGAAATACAAGAAGTTAACAACAACAGGTAAGGTGGAGGCATCAAGTACAAAAATGATAACATGTTAAGTACATTTCCCCTTGTCTCTAGAGAAGAGCCAAAAATAACTCTTTAGTGACAGGAAAACTCAAGAAGGTCTTCCACACACAAAAGAAGAGCTCCAGAAATGTTTCCGGTATCAGAAGCATTCTATGAGGTCTTTTGGTCATAGAAGAGCTCAAAAAAGTCTTTTGGCTGAAGAATGGATCCAGCACATTATCCTTACAAAAAAAAAATACAGATAAGATCTTCTTATTATGGTTAAGCTATAAAGAATCTTTCAGCTATAGAAGGGCTCATATAGGCCTTCTAAATAGGGAAGAGCTCAAAGAGCCCTTTCACTAATAGACGAACTCAAAAAAGTCATCAGGCTACAAATAAACTCAAGGGGATCTTCTGGCTATAGAAGAGTCAAATGAATCTGACTAAGAGAGAGAGAGTTCCAGCAGATCCGTGGAAAAGCTCAAAGGAATTTTGTAGTCAAAAAGAGATATTTTAACCAAAGATGAGTTCAAAGATGTATTCTACCTATAGAATAGGAGGTCTTCTACCTAGAGAAGAACTCAAAAAGGTCTTCCAGCTATAAAAGAGCTCAAAGAGGTCTTCCAGCTATAGAAGAGCTCAAAGAGGTCTTCTAGCCATAGAAGAGCTCAAAGAGGTCTTCAAGCCATAGAAGAGCTCAAAGAGATCTTCTAGCAATGGAAGAACTCAAGAGATTTTCTAGCCATAGAAGATCTCAAAGAGGACTTCTAGCTATAGAAGAGCTCACAGAGGTCTTCTAGCTATAGAAGAGGTCATAGAAGTCTTCTAGCTATAGAAGACCTCATAGAGGTCTTTTAGCTATAGAAGAGCTCATAGAGGTCTTCTAGCTTTAGAAGAGGTCAATGAGGTATTCTAGCTATAGAAGAGGTCAATGAGGTATTCTAGCTATAGAAGAGCTCAAAGAGATATCCTAGCAATGGGATAGCTCGAAGAGATTCTCTAGCCATAGAATAGCTCAAAGGGATCTTCTAGCCATAGACGAGGTCAAAATTATTTACTAGACATAGAAAAGCTCAAACAGATCTTCTGGCCATAGAAGAACTCAAAGAAGTATTCTAGCCATAGATTATCTCAAAAAGTTCTTCTAGCCATTGAAGAGCTAGCAATGAGAGAGCTTCTAGCCATAGGAAAGCTGAAATAAGTCGAAGTGACAGTAGAGTTCAAAGAAATCTTCTAGGCTTGGAATAGCTGAAAGAGATCTCCTAGTTATTCTATGGCTAGAAGATCTCTTTGAGCTCTTTCAAGCCTAAAACACTTCTTTGAACATAAAAAACCTCTAACCATAGAAGGGCTCAAAGAGCCATAGAAGAGCTCAGAGAGATATTCTAGTCATAAAAAAGCTCAATGATATTCTCCTGCTATAGGAGGCCACAAAACAGCCTCAAAGATGCCTTCTGAATATAAAAGAGTTCTCAGAGGTTTTCAGGGTTGTAAAAGAGCTCATGTAGGTTATGAAGTCCACTTCAAGCTAAGGAAAAACTCAACGCAAAAAATCTTAAATTTGTGTGACAGCAATATATGAATTATAATATGTTCTAAAAATTGGCGATTTGAAGTTTTGAATTTTTTTTTTTTTTTAATCTTCTTTGGAAAATTTCTTCTTTTTTCTGCCTTTTTTAAAAAAAGGTCCAAATGCAAATCAATTTTTGTTTCCACTGTAAATTTTCAAAATCTCACAGATTTATGGATTTTTATTTTTCATTTTAATTAATAACATTTGGAAATCACTTTTTATTGGCAAAGCAAGACATAAAATATCCGCATCATTGCCAGCATCATCATTCTGCTCAGTATCTACAGCGTCCAGCTGGTGGCGATGATGATGATGATGATTATGACACTGATGACTAATCTCAACGCCAACAGTTTGCAGCGATGGCTAGATAGATAGCACCTTGGCGATTTTCTTTTCACTTTTCTCTTTAGCCATCCCCTTTGTGTGCCATAGAATGTTTTTTTCCGCTCCTTGGAGAAGAGGCCAGTGGCAAAAAAAAATGTGTTATGGCTACTTGAGTAACTGTATTTTTTTATTGCCTGAATAATTTCTTGACGCCGCTTAGGCTATGGATTTGAACAAGGTTGCGATATTCTTGTTAAGGGAATCAATAAAACATGAGAAGTGCATCAGCAGACAGAAAAGAGAGATAGAGAGTGGGAGAGAGAGAGGTCTTGTAGTATCTCTAGTTAGTTGCTCCCCAAGGGCAAATGAGAGGATTAGCTTCAATTGTTTGTAGTTAAATTTTTCTATGGACCAATGAAGATTAAAATTGACGATTTGAAGTTTTGAAAAATATGTTTGGAAATTGCAATTATTTTCACGAAATATTTGAAAAAAAAATCAAATTTACAGTTTGTTAAAAAAACGTCTAAGAAATATCCACGATTATAGCACTGACAATCCTTCGAAATGAATTCTTCAAAAGTCCATCGCTCAAAAAAATTATATTTTTTTCAAATCAACTTTTGAAAATTTATTTTTTTTTATAAAATCTTTTATTTAAATTAAAATCTTTTAATTAAAATAAAACCCTTTAATTAAATTAAAAAAATGTGGTTTGAAGAAATTTTCTTTAGCGGCAACCGTGTGGAGCATTGGTACAATATTTAATATCTATAAATTTTTTTTTTATCAATTTTTTTTATGAAATTTAAAAAATTACGTCTTGAAGAAATTTAGTTGAAATCTGTCTGAAATCTTAAGTGATACTACTGTGGAGCACCACTTAAGTGTTTTTTTTTTTCAAAACTATAAAAATTCCCAAAAAGGGGACAAACACTTGCCATTTTGGCGCCCTTGTTTTATGTCTTTCTTTTTTTTATTTTCACCCACATTGTCCTGCAAATTGCAATTGCTGCTGCTGTTTGCCATGGCTATATTTAAAAGTGTTTCCTCATTTTACAAGTGGCAGAAATATTTTGTCATAAAAGTGTGTCATAGGACCGGGCCAAAGAAAAACAACCACATTACAGAACACACTGAGGGCGTTGGGGAGGAGGGGGAGGTGGATCATCTGTAAGAGGTGGGTGGTAATATTTTTATGTTTTCACTTTTTTTGTTTCTTTCGCCCATATTTTTTTATTTCATTTCATCAATCAGTTCAGTGCGTTTCCCGCAATGTTTTCCGCTTCTCAGTGTGTGTGTGTGTGGGAGTGTGTGTTTGCGTTTTTTTTTTCTTCACAGCTACAGCTGTTTGAGCTGTTTATCCGTAAGCAGAGCAAAATTGTATTGTAAACTAGCCCATCTCGCGGGTTTATTATGTAGATGCGATGCGTTCTCTGAAGAGTACACATTGTGCCAGCGGCAGGCGAAATGGATAAATGGGACATGGGGCCAATGAGTGTTGTACTGCTGCTGCTGTTGCTTCGGCCGTATGGCCCCTCGTCTAGAACGACATGAATGCGTGTGGCGCCATAAGCATTATTGTTGTTGTAGAATACAGCTGTATGGAGCTTTGGGTGTTGATGGCGGCACTTTGTTGTTGTCGCTCTTAATTTGTTTGTACGGGCATTATGTGTGTGTGGGTTTTTTCTTCTTTGGTGCAGATGACAGATCTCGTTATAAATTTTCTGTATTTTTTTTTTTTGTACATATTCTTCCATGGATTTGTGTTCTCTCCTTCCAACCAAAAAAAAAAAAAAGCTTTAATACCAGCCAGCTTCTAGGTTTGCTGTAACATGTTGTAATGGATATTTAAGTACTTGTAGCTGTTTTTTTTTTTTGTGATTAACAAAATATTGTAATTTTAATTTTTTTATTTATTTTTTGTAAAGAAAGTTAATGAAATGTGTTGGACATTAAGAAACAAATGGTTGGAATTTGAGGTGGAAAATTGGGAAGTTAATAGAGGAGAAAATAAAAAATTAAAAAAAAATAGAGAAGAAAAGAAAAATAAAAAAAATCCAAGGAAGTAAAAGAGAGAAGCATGAGTTTAAATAAACCAACTTTCGTTTTTAAAGACTGACCACTTTGAGAGGGAGAGGGGGAGGGGAAGGTGTGCTTTGTAAGGCCTCTTCATCAAATTTCCTCTATGTTTCAAACATAGTCTCAAAATTGTAATAAAAAACTCATTAGACCCTACAAATTAACTTCAAAGTGAGAAAAAAACTGCAACGAGGACAAACGCCATAATTTTAACAATTTTTTTTTTAAATTTTATTAAATGAAAACAAAAAATGTCGGAAGTAGCATCAAATTTTAGAATAAGTTTAGATTTGTTCAAATTGCCCACCTTTGGCACGAATTATGGCGTTTGGTACTTTGAACCATTCCCGGCGAAACGCTTGCTTGAGTTGATCGACACTTTGGAAGTTTTTAGTGCCAACCTTGCTTTCCATTTTTTTTTTTTTGCGAAAAAGTGGTTTTAAGGCCAAAGACTCCTAGTTAAAGACATATCGATTGGACAATTAAAAATGGCCGAGATGTAAAAAATCCCTGAAATCGGAGTTACCAGGGGACTATTATAAAAAGTGGACCATTTTCTGTGCCAATGATTCCAGATGTCATCCAAAGATCTCCATCAAATTTCAAGGCTCTATCATAAATATTGAGGAATATATCTCAAATATGGAAGATTTCTTTGTATACAG